ACCCAGACATAAGCAATTGTTCGTAACGCGTTGTAGGTGCCGCTGTCGGTGGGGCTCCCCATGGGGCCACGAAACGCTGCCTTCGGTGGGGGAACCGCATGCGAACTGCGCCACTGGGGCGGGCCTTCGTTGGAGCTCCCTATGGGGCCACGAAGCGCTGCCCTGGGTGGGGGAACCGCATGCGAGAGCAGCCACTGGGGCCTTCGGTGGAGCTCCCTATGGGGCCACGAAACGCTGCCCTGGGTGGGGCCACGAAGCGCTGCCCTGGGTGGGGGAACCGCATGCGAACTGCGCCACTGGGGCCGTCGGTGGAACTCCCTATGGGGCCACGAAGCGCTGCCCTGGGTGGGGGAACCGCATGCGAGAGCAGCCACTGGGGCCTTCGGTGGAGCTCCCTATGGGGCCACGAAACGTCGCCCTGAGTGGGGGAACCGCATGCGAACTTCGCCACTGGGGCCTTCGGTGGAGCTCCCTGTGGGGCCACGAAGCGCTGCCCTGGGTGGGGGGACCGCATGCGAGAGCAGCCACTGGGGCCTTCGGTGGAGCTCCCCATGGGGCCACGAAACGTTGCCCTGGGGGGGAACCGCATGCGAGAGCAGCCACTGGGGCCTTCGGTGGAGCTCCCTATGGGGCCACGAAGCGCTGCCCTGGGTGGGGGAACCGCATGCGAGAGCAGCCACTGGGCCTTCGGTGGACTGGGGCCACGAACGTTGCCCTGGATGCGAGAGCAGCCACTGGGGCCTTCGGTGGAGCTCCCTATGGGGCCACGAAACGTCGCCCTGGGTGGGGGAACCGCATGCGAGAGCAGCCACTGGGGCCTTCGGTGGAGCTCCCTATGGGGCCACGAAGCGCTGCCCTGGGTGGGGAAACCGCATGCGAGAACAGCCACTGAGGCCTTCGGTGGAGCTCCCTATGGGGCCACGAAACGCTGCCCTGGGTGTGGGAACCGGGTGGAGCTCCTTATGGGGCCACGGAACGTTGCCCTGGGTGGGGGAATCGCATGCGAGAGCAGCCATTGGAGCCTTCGGTGGAGCTCCCTATGGGGCCACGAAGCGCTGCCCTGGGTGGGGGAACCGCATGCGAGAGCAGCCACTGGGGCCTTCGGTGGAGCTCCCTATGGGGCCACGAAGCGCTGCCCTGGGTGGGGGAACCGCATGCGAGAGCAACCACTGGGGCCTTCGGTGGAGCTCCCTATGGGGCTACGAAACGTGTGAGAGGTGTGCCGAGAGCAGAGGCAAGGAGGGGGAGGAGGGAGGAGGGGGAGGAGGGGGAGGAGGAGGAAGGAAGGTGGGACGCGGGGCGCTGTCTCTTCAAAACGAGGACCCAACACCACAGGATGGTTGGGAAATGAATTGATGGATTGGATTGGGTGGATTGGATTGGTTGGGATAAGATGGATTGGATAAGATGAGATTGGTTGTATTGGAAGAAATGTATTGGATCAGATAAGATGGATTGGATGGGCCCGCCGCAGGCGCAGAAACAAATGAATTAGTGGATGGGGTTGGATGAATTGGATTGGGTGGGATAAGATAAGTTGTGACAAGATGGGCTGGATCAGATAAGATGTATGGGATTGGACGAGATGGATTGGATAAGATAAGGTGGATTGGATAAGAAAGCCAGCCGCAGGCGCCGAAAAACATGAATTATGAAATTAGCGACATGCGTTAGCGCCGGGAGGCCCGGGACACCCAGGACACCCAGGACACCGCCCGGCCCAACTGGGACACCTCCCGGCCACCGGCGGACGGGAAACGGACCGATCGCTCCTACTGACACCCGGGACACCCGGGATACCGCCCGGCCCAACTGGGACACCTTCCAGCCACCGGCGGGCGGGAACGGACTTTCGCTCCTACTTCGGCCTAGCTACAGGAGGATCACGCGCAGCTTCGCCTCGCCCGCACGCACGAACACGAAATCGGAACCGATTTCCCGGCGGGGGGTCTCCGTTTCACTGCGATCTCACCCCCCCACCTCCGATATATCTGTGTATATATGTATATATTGATTTATATCCCTCTCTCTCTCCCTCCTCTCTCTCTCTCTCTCTCTCTTCCCCTCCCCATGTCGATGACCCGACTTTCTGGGCGCCTGTGGGCCGCCCTGGGCCTCGGGCGGCCCCCGGGGACCTCTTCTGGAGACTCGCCACAGGGGCGCCCTGGGGGGCCTCCTCCCGCGGGGCCTCCGGGAGGCCTGGCCGGGGCGCCTCGCACAGAGCCCCCCGCGCGGCTCCGCCAGAGGCTGGTGCCCCACTTCAGCCGCTTCGGCGGGCCCTTCTTCATCCTGGTGCTGGGAGCGGGCGCCCGCGTGACGCTGGGGGGGGGCAGGGGAGCTGAGGGCGAGGGGAGGGGGAGGAGGAGGAGGAGGAGGAGGAGGAGGAGGGAGGAGGAGGAGGAGGAGGAGGAGGGGAGGAGGAGGAGGAGGAGGAGGAGGAGGAGGAGGAGGAGGAGGAGGGGGAGGAGGAGAAGGAGGGGGAGGAGGAGTAGGAGGAGGAGGAGGAGGAGGAGGAGGAGGAGACCCGGGGGGGGAGGGAGGGGGAGGGGAGGGAGGCTGGACCCCTCGAGTAATTTTCCCGGGGGGAGGGGAGGCGGGGTGGGAGCAGAGCGAGTAATCTGCCAGGAACTTTACGACTCCGCAGTCGGCCGTTCGGGGAGTCGGCCAGTCGGCCAGTCGGCCAGTTAGCCAGTCGGCCAGTCGGCCATGGACGGGGGGGGGTGAGTCGGATAGTGCATCCAGGTGCCCCAAAGATTGTCCCGGTGACCCAGGGGCGGGGGCTGGGGATGACTTTTCCTGTCCAGATTTATGTTGTTCCAACCTACTTTCGCCTCGATCACCAGACAGAATTTCGAGCACCACATTTGGATTATTCTTCGTCGAAAGTCCCCCTGTCGGGGACAGGCCCGACTTCAAATTCGAGCAGGGGATCGACGCCAGAGCTGTCTCCGCTCGCCCTCCGAGGGGCGGCTCCCCGAGGAGCTGCCCTCCCGAGGGCCCGGCCGCCGCCCGCCCGCGAAGGGCCCGCCCGCCGCCGAGCCCGCCCTTGAGCGAAGGGCCCGCCCGCCGCCGGGCCCCCCCCCCACACTCGGGCAGGACGAGAGGAGGAGGAGGAGGAGGAGGAAGAGGAGGAGGAGGAGGAGGAGGAGGAGGAGCAGGAGTTCGAGAGCGGCCAAGAGGGGGTGTCCTAGAGGGGGGGGGTGCAAATCATGACCGGCGGCATGCGCGCGGCCCAGCGGGGGGGCCAGGGACGTAGTGGAATAAGAAGAGGCGCCATGAAATCTGGGGAAATATCATGGCCCACGCCATGATATCCCCCCCCCTAGTCATCACCCCCTTCTTTTCCGCCCCCGACGAGGAGGAGGAGGAGGAGGAGGAGGAGGAGGAGGAGGAGGAGGAGGAGGAGGAGGAGGAGGAGGAGGAGGAGGAGGAGGAGGAGGAGGGGGGTAAAGAAAGGGGGGGGTACGAAGTCTGCTGCACGCAGCTGGTTTCAGCCCCGCCGCTGGGCCCATTCCTCGACACATGGGCGCCTCCCAAATCAGCTACGCGAGCTGATTCTCACCACCCCCCTTTGCCATCCCCCCCTGTCGCCCGACCCGACACGCCCAGCAAAAATAGAATGTGTTTGTTCCCTACCAAGGCTCTGCCTAGAAGGGTTCTTACCGTGTGGGCTTAAAGGGCCGGGCAGTGCTAAACGCCCCGGGCGGTTCCCCCGCGGTTCCCCCAGCGACGTTCCCTTAGCACAGCGTTGCTTATGTCATCTTAGCTTAGCTTAGTTCATCTTAGCTTAGCTTAACTTCATCTTAGCTCAGGTTTATCGTAGCTTAGCTTACCTTCACCTTAGCTTCGCCGAGCTTTAGCATAGCAGAGCACAGCATAGCATAGCAGAGCGTAGCACAGCCGAGCATAGGGCAGCTTAGCATAGCATGGCATAGCATAGCATAGCTTAGCATAGCACAGCGCAGCATGACATAGCATAGCTTAGCTTAGCATATCATAGCATAGCAATGCATCGCATAGCATAGCATAGCATAGCGCAGCACAGCATGGCATAGCATATCATAGCATAGCATAGCAACTAATGTTGCTTTCCTAGGGGCTCCAACTTCTAGGTAGGGTCGCACTGGGGTAATTTTGTTCGCGCGGGGGTCCCACTCGGGAGGAGGAGGAGAGGAGGAGGAGGAGGAGGAGGAGGAGGAGGAGGAGGAGGAGGAGGAGGAGGAGAGGGAGTAATTCTCAGGAGGAGGAGGAGGAGGGAGGTAGGAGGAGGAGGAGAAGGGGGTTATTTAATCGCTTCCCTCTCGGGAGGAGGAGGAGGAGGAGGAGGAGGAGGAGGAGGAGGAGGAGGAGAAGGAGGAGCAGGAGGCGGAGGAGGCGGAGGAGGAGGAGGAGGGGGAGGAGGGGATTATTGGGCTTTTTGAGTTTGCCGTTCGGAAACCTCCAGACACAACCCGTGACAGGGGGATAGGTGTGGTTAAGAGGGGGGCCCCAGGGAAGAAAGCCATGGTCTGGGACTCACTCATGGTACGGGAGGTTTTCGGGAGGACATGTGATAGGCACCAACGCCTTATTTGGGAAACAGCCTTCAAAAACAACCCGACGCCTCCCCCCCCGCCCCCCCCCTTGACCTTCGTCACGGGGATATTCGAATGATTGGGATTGGCCTCGAAGTCCCACACCAATCTCAGGCTGGCCCGGTCACTGCGCAAGTGGATTCGAGCCCACTGGTCCCCAATTAGCGGACGGATATTTCGATGAACATGGACAAGTTGCGTTTGCTAGATTCTGGGCAACATGCGCACAAAGAGCACTGCCCACGCACGAAGGCGGACTTTGTATGGGAGGATAACTATACCTCAAGAATTGCCGATAAGAAAGTGCATGCACGCCTGACTCGCTTTCGCTCCACCAATATGTCACAACAGTTCATACGCGCGCCCGCTCCCGCAGAGCCCACGCAGCGAAACCAGAAGGAGTCCGACTACCGAGAGTTGCCCGCAGCCATTTTGGCTCAGGGCTCGTGCGGCCTGATGGCGGGACCGCGCAGGCTCGGCCAATGGCAGGGCCTCCGGCAGGCCTAGCGGGGCCGCCCCGGGTCCGCGAGCTGCGCGGCCTTGCCGCCAGCAGGGTGCAGCCCGGGGACTTCCCGCTCGCGGCATGGCGCCCGGACGCGGCCGCGGGGAGCTCCGCCGCGTGCGCGCCCGCCCCAGATGAGCGCCACGCCCTGCCGTGCGTCGGCGGAGTGCGGGCCCCATGCCCCGTCCAGGCTGGCCCGGCCGTGCCGGCGGCCAGGCATCAAGAGGGGAAAAAGAACACACAGACACAATGAATCCTCGATCCCCCGGAAGGCATGGGAAACTATGGGAAGTGGGGGGGGAGCTATGGGAAGTGGGGGGGAAGACGGAAACCCAGAACAGATGGAAAATATGAGGAATCCTGGGGTTGGTGCGCATTTCTTTGTGTGTGTCCCTGGGCCTCTGGAAGGTACGCGGTGGCCGACTGGAGCTGGCAGGGGGCCGCGGCAGGCCCAGCCTGGCGCCCGCTGGCCCGCGCCGCGCCGCGGCAGCTGTGCGCTGGGCCGTGCGCCAGCCAGGTGCAGTGGCCTGCCGTGCCCGGCCAGCCCGGCAAGGCCCTGAAGCAGTGGCGAAGCGTCCTGGCTCGCCTAGAGCCCTGCCAAACCATGTTCTAAGAAATTGTTCCCCATATCCTAAGTATGGGGTTCTTGTTCCCCATATCCTAAGTATGGGGCTCTTGTTATTCCCCATATCCTAGGTATGGGGTTCTTGTTCCCCATCTCCTAAGTATGGGGTTATTGTTCCCCATATCCTAAGTATGGGGTTCTTGTTATTCCCATATCCTAAGTATGGGGTTCTTGTTATTGGCGGACCGCGCCGGAGGAGAGAGAACACACCAACACACCACTCCTCTCACTCAGATCCACTCACTCATCACTCAGACTCACTCATCACTCAGACCCACTCATCACTCAGACTCACTCCTCACTCAGACTCACTCATCACTCAGACTCACTCATCACTCAGGAGCAGATTTGGAGGATGTCTCAGGCGATTCGCTGGTTCCAGCACTCCTAAGGGGAGCGGCGGGGGAGTATTGCACTCGGCCCCTTTCGCGGGATTTTGTGGGGATGTCTCAGGCGGTTTGGCCATTTTCTCTTCCAACATGTTTCGCTTTCGGAGCAGATTTGGAGGATGTCTCAGGCGATTCGCTGGTTTCAGCACTCTAAGGGGAGCGGCGGGGGGGTATTTCACTCGGCCCCTTTCGCGGGATTTTGGGGGATGTCTCAGGCGGTTTGGCCATTTTCTCTTCCAGCATGTTTCGCTTTCGGAGCTGATTTGGAGGATGTCTCAGGCGATTCGCTGCTTTCAGCACTCTAAGGGGAGCGGCGGGGGGGTATTTCACTCGGCCCCTTTCGCGGGATTTTGTGGGGATGTCAGGCGGTTTGGCCATTTTCTCTTCCAACATGTTTCGCTTTCGGAGCAGATTTGGAGGACGTTCGCGCCCAGTTTGCGGGGATGTCTCAGGCGGTTTGGCCATTATGCTGCTGGGCATCTGTCGTTTTCGGAGCAGTTTTGGGAGGATGCCTCAGGCGATTTGCTGGTTTCAGCACTCCCAAGGAGGAGGAGGAGGAGGAGGAGGAGGAGGAGGAGGAGGAGGAGGAGGAGGAGGAGGAGGAGGAAGAGGAGAGAAGAGAAGGAGGAAGCGAGGAGGAGGAGGAAGAGGAGGCGAGGAGGAGGAGGAAGAGGAGGAGGAGGAGGAGGAGGAGGAGAAGGAGGACAGCACGAACACGGTAGGAGCAGAAGCAGGAAGGGGATGATGATGATGATGATGATGATGATGAGGAGGAGGAGGAGGAGGACGACGTGGGCAACTCGAGTAGCCAGGGCCAGACGATCGAGATTCGATGTTCCAAGGCTTTAGGTTTTACTCAAACGCTTCCGCCTCACTCTCCTTCGCTTTCCGCTCTCCTTCAGTCTTCTGCATTCTTCTGCATTCATACTCACTCGTACTCAGACTCAGTCACACGCAGGCTCACTCGCGCTTAGACTCGCTCATATCCATACTTAAACTTACTCACACTCAGACTCACGCTAAGAACCTCTCATACTCAGACTCGCTCCTGCTCAGACTCATCATCCTTCGGTCCGCTCAAACGCAGACCGGCTCACACTCAGACTGCCTCACATCCATACCCCATCGCACTCGGCTCACTCGCACTAAGATTCATTAACACACACTTTTTCTCACATTCAGACCCATTCAAGCCCAGACTCACTCATGCTCAGACTCATCATGCTACGATCCGCTCAATCACAGGCCTGGCTCACACTCAGATTCGTCCATACTCAGACCCACTCGCACACAGACGCATTCGCGCTCATATTTACTCACACGCATACCCATGCAAACCCAGGCTCAACCGCACCCAGATTACTTCACAGCAGACTGTGGGAATGTCTCGAGCGAGCGGTTGGCCCTCGCACACAGGCGCTCATTGACATATATCAAGAGAAAGACGTACCAAGATAATGAGATGCACATATGGTGAGCCCCGCGTCGAGTAATTTGCGGACCGCGCCGGAGGAGAGAGAATACACCACTCCTCTCACTCAGATCATCACTCGGACTCAGTCATGACTCAGACTCATCATTCATCACTCAGACTCACTCATCACTCAGACTCACTCATCACTCAGACTCACTCGTACTTTTACTCGTACATTCACTACACTCACTCAGGTCCACTCATCGGATGACTCACACGCACTGATGTTGAGGATGTCTCAGGCGATTCGCTGGTTTCAGCACTCCTAAGGGGAGCGGCGGGGGGGTATTGCACTCGGCCCCTTTCGCTGGATTTTGTAGGGATGTCTCAGGCGGTTTGGCCATTTTCTCTTCCAGCATGTTTCGCTTTCGGAGCAGTTCTGGGAGGATGTCTCAGGCGATTCGCTGGCTTCAGCACTCCTAAGGGGAGCGGCGGGGGGGTATTGCATTCGGCCCCTTTCGTTGCATTTTGTGGGGATGTTTCAGGCGGTTTGGCCATTTTCTCTTCCAACAAGTTTCGCTTTCGGAGCAGATTTGGAGGATGTCTCGGGCGATTCGCTGGCTTCAGCACTCTAAGGGGAGCGGCGGGGGGGTATTGCACTCGGCCCCTTGCGCTGGATTTTGTGGGGGTGTCTCATGCGGTTTGGCCATTTTCTCTTCCAGCATGTTTCGCTTTCGCAACAGATTTGGATGATGCCTCAGGCGATTCGCTGGTTGCAGCACTTTAAGGGGAGCGGCGGGGGGTATTTCACTCGGCCCCCTTCGCGAGATTATGTGGGGATGTCTCAGGCGGTTTGACCATTTTCTCTTCCAACATGTTTCGCTTTCGGAACAGATTTGGAGGACGTTCGCGCCCAGTTTGCGGGAATGTCTCAGGCGGTTTGGCCGTTATGATGCTGGGCATCTGTTGTTTTCGGAGCAGTTTTGGGAGGATGTCTCAGGCGATTTGCTGGTTTCAGCACGCCCAAGGAGGAGGAGGAGGAGGAGGAGGAGGAGGAGGAGGAGGAGGAGGAGGAGGAGAAGGAGGAAGCGAGGAGGAGGAGGAAGAGGACGAGGAGGAGGAGGAGGAGGAGGAGAAGGAGGACAGCACGAACACGGTAGGGGCAGAAGCAGGAAGGGGAGGATGATGATGATGATGATGATGATGATGAGGAGGAGGAAGAGGAGGAGGAGGACGACGACGTGGGCAACTCGAGTAGCCAGGGCCAGGCGATCGAGGTTCGATGTTCCAAGGCTTAGGCTTTACTCGAACGCTTCCGCCTCACTCTCCTTCGCTCTCCGCTCTCCTTCACTCTTCTGCATTCATACTCACTCATACTCAGACTCAGTCACACGCAGGCTCACTCGCACTTCGACTCGCTCATTTCCATATTTTAACTTACTCACACTCAGACTCACGCTCAGAACCACTCATAATCAGACTCGGTCCTGCTCAGACTCATCATCTTTCGGTCCGCTCAAACGCAGCCCGACTCACACTCAGACTGCCTCACATCCATGCCCAATCGCACTCGGCTCACTCGCACTCAGATTCATTAACACACACACACACACACACTTTCTCACAGTCAGACCCACCCAAGCCCAGACTCACTCATGCTCAGACTCATCATGCTAAGATCCGCTCAATCACAGACCTGGCTCACACTCAGATTCGTCCATATTCAGACCCACTCGCACACAGACGCATTCGCGCTCATATTTACTCAAACCCAGGCTCAATCGCACCCATACTAACTCACACTCAGAATCAGTCGCTCTCAGATTTGCGATTGGTCGCACTCATGCTTGCAGACTGTGGGAATGTCTTGAGCGAGCGGTTCGCCCTCGCACACAGGCGCTCATTGACAGATATCAATAGAAATACGTACCCAGATAATGAGATGCACATATGGGGAGCCCCGCGTCGAGTAATTCCCCATATCTTAAGTATGGGGTTCTTGTTATTGGCCGCCGCGCCGGAGGAACCCCCTCCTCCTCCCTTCCAGGCACCCTCACCTCCTCTGACTCAATCATCACTCAGATTCACCCATCACCCGGATTCAGTCATGACTCAGACTCATCACTCATTACTCAGACTCACTCATCACTCAGACTCACTCATCATTCAGACTCACTCATCATTCAGACTCACTCGTACTTGTACTCATACATTCACCAATTCACTCAGGCCCACTCATCGGATGACTCAAACACACACACACACACACACACACACACACACACACACACACACACACACATACACACACACTGATGTTGAGGATGTCTCAAGCGATTCGTTCGTCTCAGCACTCTAAGGGGAGCGGCGGGGGGGTATTGCACGGGGTCCCGTTCGCGGAATTGTGTGGGGATGTCTCGAGCGGTTTGCCTGTTTTCTGTCCCAACGTCCTTCGCTTTCGGAACAGATTTGGAGGATGTCTCGAGCGAGGCGCTCATTTTCACGTTCCTAAGGGGGCGGCGGGGGGGTATTGCACTCGGCCCCTTTCGCTGGATTTTGTGGGGATGTCTCGAGCGGTTGGCTTGTTTTCTGTCCCAACATCCTTCGTTTTCGGAGCAGATTTGAAGGATGTCTCGAGCGAGGTGCTCATTTTCACGTTCCTAAGGGGAGCGGCGGGGGGGTATTGCACTCGGCCCCTTTCGCTGGATTGTGTGGAGATGTCTCGAGCGGTTTGCCTGTTTCCTCTGTGCCAACATCCTTCGCTTTCGGAGCAGATTTGGAGGATGTCTCGAGCGAGGCGCTCATTTTCACCCCCCCAGGTGGGCCAGATTTTGAGAATGTCTCGATCGGTTTGCCTGTTGTGGTGGCCAGGCTCGTGGGCGCAGATTCTTCTCAGGATGGCACAGGAGACTCCAACAGGCTCCAGGAGGCCCCGGGAGACCACATGAGGTCCCAGGAGGCATCCGGAGGCCACAGAAAGACTCAAGAGGCCACAGGATGTCCCAAGAGGCTCCAGGAGGCCCCAGGAAGCTCCAGAAGGCCTCAGGAAACCACAGGAGGCCCCAGGAGGCAACAGGAAGCGCCAGGAGGCCTCGGAAGGCAACAGGAGGCCCCGATAGGCCCCAGGAGCAGGAGGTCCCAGAAGGCAACAGGAGTGGTTCCAACCCCATGTGTTTTACGTATGCTCCTATCGATTGGGCCTCACCTGTATGTTTACGTATAGATTGTCCTTCTCCTGTGTATACAATCCTACATGTTTTATTTATGTTCCTATATATATTGGGCCTCTCCTGGGGCACGAGTCCTTGGTGTTTTACGCGTGTTCCTATAGATTGCCCTTCTCCTGTGGCTCTAATCCGCAATGTTTTATGTACGTCTGTTGCTATATATTGCGCCTCTCCTGGGGCACGAAACCTCCCTAGGAGGTCCCAGGAGAGGCCCCAGGAGACTCCTGGAGACCCCAGGAAGCCCCAGTAGGTTTCAGGAGGCCCGAGGAGGCCCAGGCTCATGCACAAAGATGCGCTCGTACTATTGAGGCTCATTCACACTCCAATTCATTCGCAGTTAGATGTATGTCCAGACCGTCACAATTGAAGCCCGTGTAGATTCGAAAGCTCTTGCGCCTAGACATTCACGGCGGACAGGTCCATGCGAATAGATGCACATATGGGGAGCTCCACGCAGTAAATAATTATTGGCGGACCGCGCCGGAGGAGAGAGAACACACCACTCCTCTCACTCATCACTCAGACTCACTCATCACTCAGACTCACTCGTCATTCAGACTCACTCGTACTTGTACGCATACATTCACTACACTCACTCAGGTCCACTCATCGGATGACTCACACACACTGATGTTGAGGACGCCCCAGGCGATTCTGTGGCTTCAGCACTCCTAAGGGGAGCGGCGGGGGGGTATTGCATTCGGCCCCTTTCGCAAGATTTTGTATGGATGTCTCAGGCGGTTTGGCCATTTTCTCTTCCAACATGTTTCGCTTTCGGAGCAGATTTGGAGGATGCCTCGGGCGATTCGCTGGTTTCAGCACTCTAAGGGGAGCGGCGGGAGGGTATTTCACTCGGCCCCGTTCGCGCGATTTTGTGGGGATGTTTCAGGCGGTTTGGCAATTTTCTCTTCCAACATGTTTCGCTTTCGGAGCAGATTTGGAGGATGCCTCAGGCGATTCGCTGGTTTCTCTACTCTAAGGGGAGCGGCGGGGGGGTATTGCACTCGGCCCCTTTCGCGGTATTTTGCGGGGATGTCCGAGGCGGTTTGGCCATTTTCTCTTCCAACATGTTTCGCTTTCGGAGCAGATTTGGAGGACGTTCGCATCCAGTTTGCGGGGATGTCTCAGGCGGTTTGGCCGTTATGATGCTGGGCATCTGTCGTTTTCAGAGCAGTTTTGGGAGGATGTCTCAGGCGATTTGCTGGTTTCAGCACGCCCAAGGAGGATGAGGAGGAGGAGGAGGAGGAAGAGGAGGAGGAGGAGGAGGAAAAGAAGGAGGAAGCGAGGAGGAGGAGGAGGACGAGGAAGAGGAGGAGGAGGAGGAGGAGAAGGAGGACAGCATGAACACGGTAGGGGCAGCAGAAGCAGGAAGGGGAGGATGATGATGATGATGATGATGATGATGATGATGATGATGATGAGGAGGAGGAGGAGGAGGAGGAGGAGGAGGAGGAGGAGGAGGAGGAGGATGACGTGGGCAACTCGAGTAGCGGGGGCCAGGCGATCGAGGTTCGATGTTCCAAGGCTTTAGGTTTTACTCAAACGCTTCCGCCTCACTCTCCTTCGCTCTCCGCTCTCCTTCACTCTTCTGCATGCATACTCACTCATACTCAGACTCAGTCACACGCAGGCTCACTCGCACTTAGAGTCGCTCATTTCCATATTTTAACTTACTCACACTCAGACTCACGCTGGGAACCCCTCATACTCAGACTCGGTCCTGCTCAGACTCATCATCCTTCGATCCGCTCAAACGCAGACCGACTCACACTCAGACTGCCTCACATCCATACCCACTCACACTCGGCTCACTCGCACTCAGATTCATTAACACACACTTTTTCTCACACTCAGACCCACTCAAGCCCAGACTCACTCATGCTCAGACTCATCATGCTACGATCCGCTCAATCACAGACTGGCTCACACTCAGATTCGTCCATACTCAGACCCACTCGCACACAGACGCACTCGCGCTCACATTTACTCACACGCATACCCACTCAAACCCAGGCTCAATCGCACCCAGATTAACTCACACTCAGAATCAGTCGCTCTCAGATTTGCTATTGGTCGCACTCATGCTTGCAGACTGTGGGAATGTCTCGAGCGAGCGGTTCGCCCTCGCACACAGGCGCTCATTGACAGATATCAATAGAAAGACGTACCAAGAGAATGAGATGCACATATGGGGAGCCCCGCGCCGAGTAATTATTACTTGGGCGCCTCCTGCTCCTCCTTCTTCTCCCTCTTCTCCTCCCCTTTTCCTCATCATACCCAGACTTACTCATACACAGACTGACCCACACTCAGGCTTACTCAGACACTGGCCAGACTTACCCGCAAACAATTATTCATAATCAGACCGACGCATATTCATACTTACTCCTACTCAGATTTGCTCATGCTGTGACTCACGCGCGCCCCGTTGGCGGCCGTTTTGTGGGGATGCCTCATGCGGTTTGCCTGTTTTCTGTCCCAACAGCCTTCGCTTTCGGAGCTGATTTGGAGGATGTCTCGAGCGAGGCGCTCATTTGCACGTCCCTAAGGGGAGCCGCCGAAAAAGGTATTGCACGGTCCCGTTCGCGGCCGTTTTGTGGGGATGTCCCAAGCGGTTTGCTTGGTTTCTGTCCCAACAGCCTCCGTGTTCGGAGCATTTGGGGGATGTCTCGAGCGAGGCGCTCATTTTGCAAGTCCCTAGGGAGAGCGTCGAAGGGGTATTGCACGGTCCCGTTCGCGGCCGTTTTGTGGGGATGTGTCAAGCGGTTTGCTTGTTTTCTGTCCCAACACCCTTCGCTTTCGGAGCAGATTTAGAGGATGTCTCGAGCGAGGCGCTCACTTTCACGTCCCTATGGGGGGCCGCCGAAGGGTATTGCACGGTCCCGTTCGCTGCCGTTTTGTGGGGATGTTTCAAGCGGTTTGCTTGTTTTCTGTCCCAACATCCTTCGCTGTCGGAGCAGATTTGGAGGATGCCTCGAGCGAGGCGCTCATTTGCACGTCCCTAAGAGGAGCCGCCGAAGGGGTATTGTACGCTTCCGTTCGCGGCCGGTTTGTGGGGATGTCTCAAGCGGTTCGCTTGTTTTCTGTCCCAACATCCTTCGCTTTCGGAGCAGATTTGGTGGATGTTTCGAGCGAGGCGCTCACTTTCACGTCCCCAGGTGGGCCAGATGTTGAGGATGTCTCGATAGGTTTGCTTGTTCTGGTGGCCAGGCTCGTGGGGCGCAGATTCTTGTCAGGATGCCACAGGAGGCTCCAACAATCTCCAGGAGGCCCCAGGAGACCATATGAGGTCCCAGGAGGCATCAGGAGGCCACAGAAAGACTCAAGACGCCACAGGATGTCCCTAGAGGCCCCAGGAGGCCCCAGGAATCTCCAGAAGGCGTCAGGAAGCCACGGGAGGCCCCAGGAGGCCACAGGAAGCGCCAGGAAGCCTCGGAAGGCAACAGGAGGCCCCGAGAGGCCCCAGGAGCAGAAGGCCTCAAAAGGCAACAGGAGTGGCTCCAATCCTTTGTGTTTTACGTATGATCCTATCGATTGGGCCTCACCTGGAGCACGATTCCTTGATGTTATACGTATGTTTCTATAGATTGTCCTTCTCCTGTGTACACATGTTCCTGTATATTGGGCCTCTCCTGGGGCACGAGTCCTTGGTGTTTTACGCGTGTTCCTATAGATTGCCCTTCTCCTGTGGCTCTAATCCGCAATGTTGTATGTACGTCTGTTGCTATATGTTGGGCCTCTCCTGGGGCACGAAACCCCCCTAGGAGGTCCCAAGAGGTTCCTGGAGACCCCAGGAAGCCCCAGTAGGTTTCAAGAGGCCCCAGGAGGCCCCAGGCTCATGCGCAGAGACGCGCTGGTACTACCGAAACTCATTCACACTCCAATTCATTCGCAGTTAGATTCATGTCCAGACCGTCACAACTGAAGCCCGTTTATATTCGAAAGCTCTTGCGCCTAGACATTCACGGCGGACAGATCCATGCGAATATATGCACATATGGGGAGCTCCCCGCAGTGAATAATTGAGGTTCCAACGAAATGTTCTTCGAGCATTTCTGGCGGAGTCTGTCTTGTTTTATCACATCGGGTTCATGTTCTAAGAACACTGCTTCTGCTCTTAAAACATTCTTGGGTTCTAGGAACATTTCGTGGTAGGACTATAGGAATGCCTGGACGGACGGTCCCTGCTCAAAAGGCGTTCCTCGTGCCCTGCAGCCAGCAGCGCGGCGGCTTGCCAAAGTTCGCCGCCGTGGCCGCCACGGCGCTGGCCGAGAGGCCCCCCGTGCTCGGCGACGCGGCCGTCTCGTCGCCGAGGGTGCCGCCGCCTCCACCGCTGGGCCCGCGCGGGCGCTGGCTGTGGGCGCCCGTTGCTGGCGGGGCGCCGCAGGATCGGACGGCGTCGCCCTCGCGCGCCTCGTCGCGCTCCCCGCAGGCATGCTGGGTGCAGGACCTCGGAGGAGGAAGAGCTGCCGATGCCGCTGCTCACCCTGGAGGGCCCTCGTCACCACAGCTGGGTGCTCCTCGACGTGCTGGTCAGAGCGCGCGCCAGGAGAGGTCCAGGGAGCAGCGGTATATCGGCGCTCTTTGTCCACACCAGGAGCCCGCCGCGCAGGGCTGGTGCGGGGCCTCCTCCGCGACGAACTCCTACGCCCCCTCGCAGGCGGCGCCGCCCCACCGTTGGCGCGTCTCGTCGCGCGACGTCTCGGTGGACCTGTCCCAGATGGGCTCGGACGCGTATCAGCCGTCCGCCGGCTCCCGCTCCAGCACACGGCACCGCTCGCCGCAGGACTCGCCGACGGCATTCGATGGCAGGCCAGCGAGGTCGGGCCTCCGGTCGTGCTCCCCTGGCCGGGGCCCCACCGCGCCCCAGGCGCGCGTGCTGGGCCGCGGGAGAGCGGCCGTGCAGCGGCCAGCGGACTGGCTCGGACCGCCGCCCCACGGGCAGCAGGCGAGGGACACGTACCTGGAGGCGGTGCGCATGTCCAGCAGTAGCCCGCTGAGGTGCAGCGCGGACGCGCAGGCGTCCACACCCTGCAGCGTGGGGTCCCCGCGGCGCTGGCTGGCGCGCTCTGCCATGCCGTCTCGCAGCAGCAGCGGCAGCCCCGGCGCCGCTCCTGCTGGGACACCCCAGAGGCAGCGAGTGGCCCTCTCGACGGCCGAGAGCCCAGCTGGCGCGGGCGATGAACTCGCGCGGGCGCGGTTCCTGGACGCGCCGCCGGGGGCCGCTGATTCGCAGCAGCGCTGGCGGCCCGTGGACGCGATGCCCGGCGCCTGCAGAGCGAGCAGCTCGCACTCGCGCCTGTCCAGGGGCTCCTCCTCTGGGCCGCCGACGAGTCTGCGGTTGTCGCCCGGATCCAGGTTTCGTGTGGGGGAGCGGCTGCAGAATCGATCCACCCCGAGGTTGAGCTTCTCGGCGAGTCATGCGCAGAAGGTTCGTGGAGCTACGAACCTTCTGCGCGCTCCTCGTGGGCTCGACGCACCCTATCAATCAGTTCTGGGGCTCACCAACTCTGGCGTCGAGCCCCTGCTCGAATTAAGTCGGCCATGTCCCCCTACAGAAGATTTTCGACGAAAAATAAAACATACCCTTTAAATCATCAAAAAATAATCCAAAGATAGTCTGGGGACTATTTTTTGAGTATTGTTTGACCTTTGGGGTTTTCTTTGATACTTTTCATTTTCGTCGAAAACCCCCCTGTAGGGGGACAGGCAGCCTTATATGTTGCTCCCATCGTACTTAAGGACCACATCCCGGAAGTAATTTCGAGCACCCGGAGCAGTGTCGGAAGAGTGTCGAAAGAGTGTCGGACGAGTGTCTCCCAGGGCCCGACACGTGAAAACCCTCGAGTTTCGTCACTTCTCTTCTGGTGCTCGAAAGTATTTCTGGTGATTGAGGCTCAAGTAGGTTGGAACATTATAAGTCGAGCCCCTGCTCGAAGGTTCCAGCTCCAATAATCCAAAAATAGTCTGGGGACTATCTTTTTAGTATTGTTTGACCTTTTGTGGGCATTTGTAGGGTATTTTTTATTTTTCGTCGAACCCCCCCCTGTAGGGGGACACGCCCGACATAAGCTTCTTGCGAAGGCTTTCGGGGATCCCAGCAGGTCTCTGGGGCCTCCCGAGGGGCGTCTTGGGCCTCCCGAGAGGCCTCGCCCGCCCCCCGGCTTCGGCTTTCCGGGCTGCGTGTTTGGCATCCAGTGAGACACTTCCTGCGCTTCGGGGAGTCCTGAGGGCATGTTCTCGGAAAACCGACCTGATGCTCGAAGGCTCCAGCTCCCCAGCATGCCCCACGGCGGGAGCATCGAGCTGGCCGACGTGCTCCTGCGGATCGCCCCGCAGGGCGCCGGGGGCGAGCCGCCCCTGGCCGCGGCCAGCGCCCCGCCGGCGGAGGCCTCCGCGGCGCCGGCGGGGGCCCGCCCGCACGGCGGCGGCGGCGGCCCGCAGGGCCAGGCCAGGGCCCTCCTCCTCCTC